TTCGCGCGTAGCGAGACTTTGTCCTACCCGGACCGACCTAATCTGGCGCTACCAGTCAATACCCTACAAGATATGCCTCTCGAGTATTGACGGCAGGCATAATTCAGCCCTATGCAGGGACTTACCGGAAAAGTGTACACGTGTCTTGGACTAGGAAAATTCTGCTCTGTTATCTTCTGGGAGCCTTTTCGGCTCCCCCTATTTAATCCTATACTTCCTATACAAATATCTAGTGAAATGTAGTCGTTTCGGATCTCTACCGACCCTTCAGCTGAGTTCGGGCGACCGTTGAGCTCAGCGGCTATCCGGATAGCATATCCGGACAGATCGCCGAGTACTTACCGTGATCCTTTGTTCTTAAGCTCTGGGTTATCAGACCGAGCCGATTCTTGACCTAAAGTAGGTCGGCGTATGGTCGAATCTGGAAATCCCTACACCACAATGGGATCGACGACGGTGTCGTAGTCTTCACCCGATATACGGCACCGAGCTCGCAGCTTGTCCTCGTATTCACGTCGGTCACACTTCCACTTCACGAGTGCTTCGTGAGAAATGGACTCGATCTTCGGCGGGACTATCGGCGTAAACAGTGGGACTGTTCCAGTCGATCCACCGGAGGATCCAGCATTGCCACGAGTCATCATCTTAGTGTAGTAGCTTGAAATCGGTGATCCAGTGTCCACAGATCAGCGCAGCGAAGAGTAGGCTCGCTCGATCAGTGGAAAGTACTACTAAATAATTCTTTGTAGTGTTTCCCGGGGTTTGAAACCAAAACTTGAACACACGACGATGCGGGGACTAACCCGCACGGAAAGTAGTCGAATGTATTGATGTAACTTGCAACCACTTGAGTGATTGTAAGCAGAATGTGAAGTGAGGTCGAGTTGGGAACCACCAGCTCTCACTCAATGCAAAGGGCATCCCTCAGCTCACCGAGATGAGAGGCAGTCAATCTGGCGTCACCAGATTGAGAGACGGACTGAAGTGGCCAGCCCCGAGGCTGTTCTGACCCACAACAATCAAGCCCAAAGGAAACATGTAAGCTCGGCCTACCTATCCTCATGCATGCTGGCCCAATCACTAAAAGCTTGGCCAACCAATATAAAAGTAACTTCAAAGTCCTCCAGACTGGCAGCCGTCGGACACTCTTGGTCATCTGTGATCCCTTCTCTGGCTAGCGGGTACGTACCACTGGCGGTGGAGCCAAGGTGAAACGCTCGCATCCACTACAAAGTGCAATAGGTTATACTGCTTGCTGTTGAATGCTCCATGAGTTCCACGGTAAACTGCACAAAATACGTTTAGACCATGTGGTGGTCGAAGTCGGACTTAAGGAATGATGGCTTAATAGAAATGCTATATCCTCCAATTGCGGGCAGATTTGTCGCCGCACCGACCCATATTTCATCGATACTACATATTCGAATGGATTGTCCTGTCTTCGCAATTGTTATCCATTTCCGGCGACGATACATGCGTTATTGTCCCATGGCGCTGATAGAAGGAACAGAGCTTCGTTTGGTAGATCGGACTACCAGGGGCACTGCGATAGAGCAAATCCTGAGATGCCGTCTTTGTTCCAATAGGTTGCCTGCGTTTTGTTTCTCTGCATTTTATATTTCGCCTGTGTGGGATAGAGCTGTCGAAACGATTCCGATTGAGCTTCCCACAATTCCAATTGTAAGATCCTGTTCGCCACAGCTTGTACGTCGTCCTCTCCAGTTTGTCTCTTACGAGACGCTCCTGTTGACCGACGACGCCGTTTCTTACCAGACGCTCGACGCCGTGTCGATGTGTCTGTGGTCGAGGGTTCAGGAGTCACAACAGCCGATGTCACCGACACCACGCTCGGTTCTCCTTCACCACTCACACGCTTCCAATACGCGCTCAGCTCTTGATCACCCGCTTGAGTCACATAGTTATTGACCAGGACACGAATCTCCTTGGACAGGCTCAGCATCGGCTCCAAAGAGTCTTCGATTGTCTGTAACCCTTTTCATCCCACTAGGAGCTCGTAGTCCTTGATGTCGTCATTCCACTTGTGCTCCTTGAGGTCATCAATCGCCAACAGAATACCCTGAGCAGCAACGTGCTCCAAGAGTTCGTCTGTCACTTCCAAGCTGTCATCTGCATACAGCTTGAGTCGTGATGCATGCACATCCAGTTCTTCTTCAGTCACCAAATGCTGCACGCGGAACGAGTGTGCATCAGCACGCACCACTCGATAGGGACCGATCCAGGTCACCTGTAGCTTGTTCCCGTGTTTTTCATCGACTCTAGACCGTATAACGAAGCCAACAACAGAGAAATTCAGAAGATTCTCTCCCCGCTCACGCTTCGTGTTCAGCAAGCGCTGCTTCTCCTTACGGTCTTGAACAGGTCCATGCATAGCTTGTATGCTATCACGCAACTTGCTCAGGAATTCGTCAATCTTCTCACACTCAGGAGCCGTTTGTAACTCATCCTTCTCGGGCGAGTAGAATTCTCTCAACGGTGTGGGGCACGGCAGGCCCGTGAATAACTCCAGTGCCGCCCGATTGCCCAACGACGGCACCGCCGTATGATTCAGGTTAGACTGTACCATTGGGCACTAGGTACACCCAATCCTTGTATCCAATCTTGTACTCCAAGATCATCGCTCTGATCACCTGCAATATGTCCCTGTTTCACGCGTTTCACGGAACCCGTTGATCCAAGGGCAGTACGCTGGAGTGAAGGTCTGCTGCA